TGAAAGTGAGTGGGATGATCTCATCGCCTTCCACTGCGATCCAGATGGATGTATTGTGGCTCATGTCTAACTTATAGTTCACCGTACAAGCCACATATTTTAATAAGGGCCATGATTGAATTGGGTGAAACTTGTTTAAGGTCGATAGGCTCCAGTCGGGTGAATCTGAAGATCTGGAACCTAGTTCTTTTAAATCGGAACAGGTCCATAAAATGTGCTCTAATTGAGGTTCCAGATGAGTTTCACATCTAGAATAATCCCCAGATAGTTTACTTCCTCCGCAAAAGGAATGGTTTCCCCGACCAAGGTAGGTTGTCAAGGCTTTTTGAGCTTTCTTCTCTTGGTGAAGGGGACAGTTATCTGGGGGTTAACAGATATCTGCTCCCTCTTGCACCATCTGTTTATCGTATTTAGGGCTTGTTGAAGGATGTTTGAGATCACCTCTTCGCACTTCCCCTAAATATGATAAGCAGATCGTCCGCTTACTATTGGAAATCCACCCCTTGCCGAGAGAGATCTTCTTGCAGAATATTTACCAGAATGGTCCACAGTACATCGCCTTGTGGGCCATCCTCTGACAGTCCTGAAAGTGACTCTCTCTGCAGTGATAAAATGCTGTTCCGGTTTGCAAGCATGCTTTTGGTCCAAGGGGTCAGTTTGTTGATTCCTATTTTTCATTAGAAGCAAACAGCGCCTTCTATATCTAGAAAGACTCTCAGCGCAATCTTCTAGTATTTTAGGTAATGACCAATTTTGCCTATTAGATTGTGCAGTACATGATCTGTCGATTTGCCTGCTTGGTAGGCATATTGAGAGGAGTTTAACGGGCTTGTCCAAAGGCGTCCTTCTCTAATGTTCTCATCTAGAATTTTGTGTAGTGTTTTCAAAAAAAAGGATGTTAGGCAGATTGGACGATAGGAGCTTTGTAGGAAGATTATCTACTCTACCAGCATTGTGTATATACACAACTTTCATCATCGTCCCACACGCCAGGCTTGCTCTAAACATCCTCACAAGGAGGGGTAGCAAGGGTTCCTGGCCTTGCAAAAGTTTAGGAAATTTGCTATCCTCTCCGGGTGATTTAAAAGGAGAGAATGAATTCATCGTGTTTGGCTAGAAAACTTGTGCAACGTAGTTCTAGTCCACCTTGGGTAGTATGAGCAATTTTCTAGAAGGAAGGGATACAGGTTCTCTAAAATTCGACTGCCTGGGAAGTGTTTCCGTAAAAGAATCTCTAACGTTTCCTTGCCAGGTCCGTATAGGTGTCATCGGGTCTTTTTGTCAAGCTGACTTCGTGTCTTGGATCTTTGGCGAGAATCTTGTGAAGTTTGGTGCTTGAAGGTAAATCTGATATACTCTGACAGAACTTCCTCCACAATTCTAGTTGGGCCAGATTTTTACATATTTAAATGTTCCTTTTTTATAAATATAATTTTACAGATTATTAAATTACTGTGTTTATTTTGTTAATTAAAACTAATGTAGGGTGTTACCATGAAATTAGAGTGTCCAATTTGACAAAAATATAATGGTCCTATTTACTAATTATTAACTAATTCTCATTTATCAATAAAATAAACAAACCATAATTACTGTCAAAAGAGTTTGCAACAAACTTTAAAATATTAAAAATCTAGTGATTTTTTGTAAAATTTTAGTAACATTACCATTAAATAGATAATATCCAATAAACATCTCTTACTAAAGTTGTTTATATCTCATATCAGAGTTGATTACATTCAGAGTTGGGTCGAATACTGAAATCCGGTATTCGAATACGAATCCTGAATACTGTATTCTAAATTGTATTCGAATAATCAATATTCGAATACAAAGGAAAAACAGTATTTGAATACCGCTGTATTCGAATACCTGGATTCATTTACATATGAATACTTTATGAATATTCCAACTACAAATAACATTTGCGCACATAAAGCTTGATTATTATTTATGTAGTTAATTTATAAAAATATAAAAAGAATTAAAAATCTATGTTAAATAAAATTTGAAATATCATTTTTTGATACACAGTGTCACAGTGAGGTTAAATAAAATAACTGTTTATTAAAAAACATTTGCTGATTTTTATTTCTTAAAGTTTTATTAAAAAATTAAATTAAAAAATAAAATAATGAAAAATTTAAAATAAAATTCTTTGGTACACCGTCAGATAAAAACAAACTTCTTGTTTAATAAAAAATAAACAATTCCCATTACCTATAACCTATACCCTACAACCTACTTACTTATACAGAGTGTCCCACGAGATACGCCTCGGACCATAACTCCATAACGGTGCAATTTTCGAAAACTAATTTTAAAAGATGGCTTTTTTGAATATACATAAAAATTGCACCGTTATGGAGTTATGGTCCGAGGCGTATCTCGTTGGATATATAATAAATAAAACTTAAAATAGTTTCTTTGGTACATTCATTGGAAATTCGAACACAATAAGGTAACACAATAGAATTGCTTAGCAAAAGAAGCTATCCTTGAAAAATAATCTTAAATAATAAATAACTTAAAATAAATTATTTTTGTTTTAAATAAAATATAATATAACATTCATAACGTCGCACTAGTACTTGGATATCAGAAAGAAGACATCAATCAAAAAGCATTTCCTATCCCGTTTGCCTTTAACAAAACCAACATTTCAAAAAGATCGCAATATTCATAGAAATAATCAAACAGTATTCGAATACCGGGATTCGAATACCGGGATTCGAATACAAAGTGGGTATTCGAATACTAGGATTCAAAAATGGTATTCTGAATCCAAAATACCGAGTACTGACTAAAAAAGTATTCAGTCGAATACCGAATACAGAAAACACAAATGTATTCGAATAGTATTCGAATACCAGCCAAATGTATTCTAAATAAGATTCAGAATACCGGGTATTCGAATACTACCCAACTCTGATTACATTACGTTTTCAAAGTGGTATTAGGTACATATTGTGGTCTAAAATTAATTACATCCATTGTTATAAAAATTGATAAGATCTCTTAATATTATTTAACTACATGGAAACTCAACTTTTAAAATACTTAACATAATATCGTGTCTTGAAGTAAAAATTAAATTATTTTCTTTTTCTTAAAATTCAAATGCTGAAATTTTATTTTCTACAAAAAAATATACCTACCTAACCAAAAAATCCAAAAATATAACGTTAGAAATAAAATTAATCTCTCTTCTTACCTCTTTTTGCTCTTGGTATTTCTTCATCTGAAGATTTTTCGCTACCAGAGTCGGGTTCGTATTCATCTGAAGAACCACCATCAAACGGTTCTTTCTCAGAATCAGACAGTATTTTATTCCACAATTTTTGCAAATTTTGCTGAGCTCTCTCGTATTCACCACTTATATTTTATAACCCTACCTCTAACAAAGTGTCGGAATAGACTAAGCCACCCGCGACTGTGGACTGCATTAAGCATAAAAAGCGAGTTGAAACATGCGTAAATGCGAGAATTTACATACGAGTCACACGGCTAAAACTATGTTGGGGCACTGAGAATTAACTGTCGGTTCTCATTTTCAAAATGTTTTTTTCTTATTTTTGAGTGACCAAAATCACTTTTTATAATAATATATATTATTTCCTAACATATACTATTACCAATTGAAAACAATATATCGATACCTTTTTGCCAGACTATCTAGAGTGCCATTTAAAAAATGTAGCTTCCGTTAGTCTGGCAAAAAGGTATCGATATTGTGGCTCAGGGGGCAAAAATATATTTTTGTATTTGGGCGATTAACGTCCATTCATACATAGCATTTATATCTTTTTGCAAAGGAACGCAATCCTGTACTGTTTGAGTATCAGCTAAAAGTAGGCCTCTAAAGTATTTAATAATTTTTAGCAACTTTGAAACTGAAAAGTGTGAAATATTTATGTTTTTGCCCATGCAGACGTTTTACTCCATATTCTACTATTCTTCAAATAATAATTGTAGTGGAAATTTATTTTCTTTACGGCCACTACTGAATGTATTTCTTCTGAAACCACTCATAATAACATAAATTGAAAGAAAAGTCTGAAGCACATGTATTTCATTCTAACTCTAAAGACAAAATGTCCATTATGCAATAGCTACTGGTTAATAGCTGTAAATACCATGCTCGCATCGTAGATAGTCATGAATTTCATGACAGTTCTACGCAACGTATTAGGGGTATTAGTATTTACTTTGAATTTGCCTGAATAAAGATAAGCGGCATTTGTTAAGTCGAACTTAACTTCAAAGATTGTCGAACATAATGATTATTGTATGGAATTTGATAACATTTCTTCTAAACTAACAAATTATGCTAATAATTTAAATAAAAACTTGCCTAACATAAGTTAGATTAAATATTTAGTTTTACTGTATTCAACTCCTACTCTGTATGTGGTCGAGGAGAAAGTATAGTCTGTTACTCTGTTGGAATGAAAAGTCGATAGTCGTAGTTCTTCACGCTTGCTTACGCCGTTCAGAATCTTCCACTCGTATCGATTTTTCACTTCAACCCTGTTACAGAATATACTATAATCTTCCATTCGAGTTATTTGTGTAATGCCGCTGTAGGAATAAATAAGCGGCCATTTTTTTTATATATATTACTGTACTGTTCATTATTTCCTACCACAAATATTTTTATTTACGCCTGAAAAATGGAATACTGCCATTTTGAATTTATAACTGCTTGTAACCGCTTAAATTATTACTTTTCTAAAAATCCGGTGTTAACATAACACCATACAATATCAGTTTTTAAAACATCTCAGCGCCAGCGCTAGTATGTAAATATTTTAATTGAAAACAATGAATAATAGATGCTTCTAGTTATATAGGTACCTAAAAAACAAATAGCTGTCTATACTTTTTTAGTTTGTCCATGTTTTGATAATTCCCAACATAAAAATTCATAGCCACAGTAAAATAACCTATGAATAATTTTCCCATCTTTCACGTTCATTTATTTGATATCTTTATTCTAGATCCATACATCACTAATCCAGGGCCGACCCGGAGCCAACGAAACAAGTCCGGAATTATTGGAGTTCACGAAAGCTCGTTACGTTCAAATGCGGTTAATCGGGTTGAGAGGAACACAAGAGCCGCTGCCACGATGGCTTGCACAGGACATCTGGAAGGATAAGAGGTTGTTCTACTCAATTAGGGATATCAGCATCGGAGGGCAATGTGTTTGCAACGGTCACGCGGAAAATTGCCGACACAATGTTGCTTCCGGGGTGAGTAAAGTAGTTATAGTGGAGCGAAATTAAACGTGAATAATAAAAAATATCGGAATCCTGTTAAACTTGAATGGAATTTACTTGTTTAGTTACCGGCCATTATTTAGAAAAAAAAAATAAGATTGAAAAAAATATCGGTTTTGTGGTTTTTAAACTAAATAAAACTCTATTATTAGCAGGATAAACGGGAAAAGTGGGGAACGCCTCCCCCTCTACTCCGAAATATACAAAATTAATTATTAAAACTGAGTAAATATAAAAATACTATAAAAATAATTACATTGTCTGTAACGTAAATCCCTATTTTATTGTAAAACAACACTGACAAATTGCATCAGAAAATCGTTAAATTAACGTATTAATACAATTAATAACCAGAATATCTAATTAATGCACAAGTCGTGCCAAAAATGTTGGAAAAGTCGAAAAACTGGAAGGTATCTGGAGCCAGCCTACAGATTTAATTTAGTTGACAACGTTATCAGGATGTACTTCGCTTGTACTCGTATCGGCCGGTGTTATACGTTACTCGTCGAACACAATTTTTTTAATAAATGGAAGTCGTAGAGGATATGCTTGACGGTATCATCTTCTCGTTCGCACCGTCTGCAGAGTGCGGATTCTGACAGCCCCATGCAATGGAGATGTTTCCATACGTGGTAATGACCAGTCAGAATGCCTGTGATCAAGCGCAGATTTTGTCTAGTCATAGAATTTGTTTGCAGGATAACTTAAAAGCTCCCTGGCAACTATACAGTTTCTTGTTACATCCCATCTTTTCTTGAATTTCACAAGGAAATGTTCTTTAAGTAGGAATATCACTACCGATGTTATTAGTCCAGTAGAAGGGACAGGTCCAAACAGTAATTGGATGGTTGTCTTTTTGGCTAGTTAATCAGCAAGACGGTTATCTTTCGATGTGGAGTGACCTCTGATCCATCTTAAGGTGACCACATTGTTGATTGATACTTCGGCTAAAGCTTCGTGACTTTCTAGTACTAACCCTGAGTTAATTCGTAGTCTGACCAGGGTAAGTATTATTTGTCTGCTATCTGTACAGATGAGCATGTTCGTTCCAGTTATGTCGTTTCTGCTAACTTATTTTGCTGCTATGAGAATCCCCGTAAACTCGGTTTGAACTACACTGGTACTATTACTCACAGTCAATTTTATGTTTAAAGATATGGAGAATGTTCCACATCCTAAACCTAGTTTTGTTTTAGAACCGTCGGTGTAGATATTAATCGTACCTGCCACTTCGTTTTCTATTTGTTTCGTTCTAACTTTATAAGGCTTATGGAATATGTAAATATCTAGAAGAGTGAGACTAAAAATATGGCTCTGATTGGTGTGTTTTTCATGGCTCCTGTTATGTTGAGACATGCTGTTCTTTAAATTAGGTCTAGTTTGGGGATAGCTGTCAATTGTTGGTCCATACCCAAACAAATGCACCGTATGTTAGCATAGGCTTATGATGTCCATGTAAGTCCATGTGACGACTCTGAGGGAGAAACTTCAGGTGCCCCCTACTGTTTTGCGGCATTGCTTACAAGCAATGTATGCTCTTTTGTGTTGCAAAGTTTAGTTTTGTGTTTAAGAGTTCCATTTTCTTCCTTCTCCTTGTGAAAACTATTATTTCTGGACGGTTTATGTGAAGATTTGAAGACAAGATTTTAAAAAGATGTTTTGGATGCCTTCAAATTGCCTTTATTACTTCCTGATTGTGATGAAACCATTGAATGCCTCGTCAGTAGGTGTTAATCTTTGTTGGATGGCAATAAAAATTTGCAAGCAATGAAGCTAAAAGTGGCAAAGTGAAGCAATAGATGTCTTAAATGTATACGACAACGATATTTACCCAACAATACTCTTCTCCAAGTTCTGTATATGTTTCCGTCAAGCAACACCAGTGATGAGAGGTCTTTATCCTCATTGCAACGGTTGTCAACCAATGCATTGACAAAGTAACGATAGTGCAGAAAAGATTGGTTGGACTTGCATCATCACGACATAATAGTTGAGCACAATAATGTGATTAATCGTTTTGCGAATTAAAAGAGTCTTAGTCTGTGTCTGTGAAATGTCATGCACAAAACTGGCTCTTTAACTTCATTTTCATTACGTGTAGTTCTTTTTTTTACTGCAAAGAAATAGGTAGCTTCAAATGTAAGCAGATACTTTAAAACTATTAAAACTTGTATTTTTTTAAATCATCTAGAATTAGAAATCAATTAGAACGTCATATTTTCACACTTGACCTAAGTACTGTTAGTGTGCAAAATAAAACTAAATTTGATTTGAGTTGGATTTTTGTTGTATACCTGCATACTTATCTACTTTTCATAATTGGTCAAAAATTAAAAGTGAAACTTTGAATGATTTTTTTCACTTCTTAAAATCGAAACGAAAAAAACTTAAAAGTAACAAGGCAGTCATATAGGTATTATATGCATATAATTATAGTAGTTTATGCAACAACAGTGGATATGATGGCCATATCGCCCGAAAACGAAGTTCGGGCACGACGCCGTGGCTCAATGCGATATGGACAATCCACTCGAGCTGTACAGTATATTTTTTCCACGATCCACTAACGAAAATTTACAAATTAAAAAAATATTTTAGATTATTAAGATAAAATAACTAATTTTAAAATAATTTATGAATTTTACTGGGGTCTATTCTGTAACAATTCCTTTATATTTAACGGCCTTTAAAAATATTGGCGGCCTTTAAAAATATTTTCGTATTCGTTAATTTACTTGTCTTTACTTAAACAGATTTCTTTAAGATAGTCCTATAATGTATTTTAAAGATCCGTTTAAATAATGACAGAAGTAAAGAAGAAAATATTTTTAAAGGCCGGTAAATACAAAGGAATTGTTACAGAATAGGCCCCAAAGTCTTTTAAAATAAAATAAACATGAAAAAAAAAGTATTTAATTAGTCCCCGGCCGAGGTACGATCTCGGGCTTTTCGAGTGGAAGGCAAGCGCTCCGTTCTCGCGTCTTCGGCGACTTTTAAGATTTTGTTTTAATACTCGTAATTAAAATAATTTCATTAAAATTTATTTTTTTTTAAATATGGACCAAATAAAAATGCTATTATTTTATCGTTTCTACACAAAAATAACTCTTTTTAATGTATATTTAATCTCAATAACTAAAAAATATACTGACATTTAGTTTGACAGGATTGTCACTTATTTAATTTTTTATAATAATAGTTGTTTGGTTTCCAAAATATGAACTGTGGTGCATTTCATTTTTTTGCAGTGTTCTCACTACCTAGAATGGATATGAAATATATTCGTTTAGTTGGACGCAATGACATACCTTAACGTTTTATAGTCTTTGCGCAGATAATATAATATGCATGTGGGTGTAGAAAATAGTAGTTTAAGCAACAAGAGTGAATATGATGGCCATATTGCACGTAGACGAAATTTGTGCACGACGCCGTAGGCGGAGTGCTTAATCATCTGAGTGCGATGTGGATAATCCACTCGAATTGTACAGAATATTTTTTCTACAACTCACTAATAAAAATTTACAAATAAAAAAATATGTTATTAAGACAAAATAACTAATTTTAAAATAATTTATGACTTTTAATAATTTTTAAAATAAAATGAACGAAAAAAAAAGAAGAAAGTTCATTTAATTTTCCGTGTGGAAGGCAAGATCGCTGACCACCTATACTTTCATTTTTGTTGCTTAAATACTAGTAATTAAATTGACTTTATATTTAAATTAACAAATTTTTTTATAATTATAGACAAAATAAAAACAGAAATGCTATTATTGGTCAATTCTACACAAGAATAACCCATTTTATTGTATGTTTAATAGCAATAACTAAACAATATACTGACAATTAGTTTGACAGAATTGTCACTTATTTAAAATTTTAAAAATAATAGCGGTCGGTTGATCAAAATATGAACGCTGATTGGTGGATTTAATTTTTGTGCACTGTTCTCTCTACCTAGAGTGGATATGAAATATATTCGTTCAGTTGAAGGCAATAGCATGTTTTTTTCGTTTTGTAATCTGTGCGTAAGCTGATATCCATGTGGGTGTAGAAAAACATTATTTTTTCTTGGATGCTCAATGAAATCAGTACCTCTATGATTAACGAAAATTATGAAAAATATTTATTTAATAAACTTTCCTTTGGAATTTCATTTTACATTTTCTCTAAGCACCAGCTCTATACTACAAAGCATCACAGTTGCAACTCAAAGTGTCTGATGACATTTTTCTCCTTGCTCGTTAAATTAATAGGTACGTACTTGGTTACTTTGTGAAATTTCAGCCTCGTCTGGACAAAAAAGATTCAAAAGCCCGCAGACATACCATAAAAGTCGATCGCAGCGCCAATGCCTTTCTGAGAATTGTCTTGCCATCTTTATTTGGTATTATTTGATAGTTATCGTGTGGGAAAACCATCAATCTAAGAATTCTCCTCATCGAACCATAATTGCCGGGTTGTTCTTATATGTTGTACGATGAACTTGATATCTTATGCAGTCAATAATAGTAAATAGTAGTTATTGTATTTGCTTTATTTATGCACTTTTGTTTTTTGTGACTCTAAATTTCCCATTTTGAGTCTATTTGTGTCTGGTTGGCTGTCAATATATACCGAGTGGCTCATTTACATTTTATAAAATCATAAATTTTGGTATTGGTTATTATTTACGTTGAGGCAAGTTATATATAAGATGTACGAAGGGGCGCAAAATGTAACAATAAAATCGTTACATAAACGATTTTCGGAAGAAATGCCTAATGTAAAATGTTCTGTACAGTCAATTAATACATGGATTCGAAAAATTGGTTTTTGCTTTAAAAGAAATAATAACAGACAGTTTTTATTGAAACGAACATCGATTCAGTTAAAAAAATTATTTTTAAAAATTGTTAACAAGGAGATAGAGCTGGGTAATTTTAAGCCTGTATTTATGGATGAGACGTGGTTATATAGCAAGGGAA